TGTTCAGAAATAAAATATTTATTGTTACATTGTCAGACCACAAAAAGAAAAAAAAGGAATATGTGACATATATGTAGAACAAGATATTCCTGAGCCATATAAAAGAAAAATATTATCTCAATAAATTGTTTTTCTTTGAATGCAATCCTGAATGTAAATAAATGACCGAGATGTAATCAATCAAGGAACTAATCAGAATCTTGCATGATCCTATTTAAAGATTCCAAAGAAAGGACAAACGATGGAGAGTATTTTTATTACACCCTTTTGGGATAAATATAATTTTATTAAATTGCACGTCTATATGAAATGATCGTGATGCTAAGCGATTGTTTGTTTTAAGCCGATGAACGACTACCTTTCTAGCGCACCAATTAATTTTGGCGAACCAAAAATTGTAAATAAATGATTATCATGTGGATCAACTGTTGGATGTTAAAAATTATCGACGAAAATATCTTTTGGTATTCGGGACAAATTTCAAATATATGAAAAGACACGCTTTATTAAACAAACCTATAAGAATTTGTGAAAAGAAAAAAAAAAAAAATTATAAAAGAGCGATATCTCAATGTCAATTCTTCATTTTATCGAAAAAAAAATTCGCTCAAATTCGTCAAGTATGAGCTATAGGAAATTGATCGAGCTCGATTTATAAAGAAATTAATCTATCAGTTATTCCAACTTTCATTCTCAGAATGAATTATTCGCTCCTTTAAAAAAATAAATATTAAATATCTTTATCGATTCAATATTTTCGTTCCGAACACGATTTTTGGTCCTTTGATTTAATCTTTCGTTATTAAAAATTATTACAATACAATATATGAACATTTTTCTTTTCTTATTTCTATTATTTCTATTTCTATCTTTTTTTATTTCCTTTATCTTATCTCTATTCTCCTCCGTATTTTTATTTTCTCTGTTTTTCAGATAAAATTATTCTCACATTAACTATGGATTTTTTAAAATTTTATAAACTTTCCCTTTCAATGCGCAAAAAATGAGAGACTTTTACTTTGAACCTAATGTATCACGTATTATCAATATTTTCGAATGAATTCTTTTTTTTTTTTTCTTTCGTCGTCTAAAAAAAAAAGGAATTATTTATTTATTTTGTATTTCGCTTGAGCGCTTTTCTATACAAATTATATTACTGTATATATATATATATTAACATTTATGGTAGATATTCACAATTTTACGCTAAAAATCTAAATAAAGTTAACAAGTTATTTATACCAAACAGCATTATCTGTTCTTTTTTATGTAATTACTCACTCAAATCTACAATCTTTTAATATGTCTCGATTGCAAAGGTACTGATTTTTTTTTTCTTTTCTTTTTATGAAAATTTCAAAATCAACCAAAGTGATTTGGTGACTGACAATTGCTGAAACCTTAACAGAATTTGCGTATATGGATAGTTCATTTATGTGATAAGGTGTAACCTTTGATCAAAAACAATGTAACATAACAAAATTTTTTAAAGTTCATAGAATAATAATATGGGCACCTTGCCGTAGAGAGGAAGGAAACTGCCGAAACAAATGTTTTTGATTAATGCCAATTCTGGACGCATTTTTTTTTTGTTTTGTTACCTTCCGAATATTAACCTTCCCCTCCAATTCTGCGGCAAAGTCCTTTGAAATTTCATGTTCAGCCTTTAACGTTATACAATATAAAAAATTTGACTGTGTATTTTTGTGCTCTTTGTGCGTGCATATGTGAGTAACTGTTGTCACAGAATCCAAAAAAAGGGTTATTCTATAAAAAATCTGGCGTAAAACAAAATGCACATCAATAACAACGAACGGAATCCTATAAAAGAAGAATTTTTATCCCATTATACTACAACATCCCCTTAGAAGTAAATTAATGAATAAATATTTATATATTGTATTCCCTCCCTACTCATTTCTATAAACGGCAATCCTGATGCCCCCTCCCAAATTTGAAATTAATCCCAACTCGCTTTCTAATAATTACCGGAATTTAGAACCGAATGTATCTCGACAATCTTTTTTTTTGGTGATAATTCCAAGTTATGCGAAATGCATCATTATTTTTTTTTTTTTTTTTATATAAAAAAAAAAAAATATGAATTTGTGTTACAGTCAAGTGGAGAACTCTAAAATGTTCTCGTTTCAATTTGAAACCTTTTGGTTGAATTACTTTTTTTCGGTTTCATTATTTTTCATTAATGTCTAACTTTGTAGTTAAGATTAATTAAAAAGTTTATTCTCTAAATAAAAAAAGTTAAAACCTTTTTTCGAGCTGTACTTTGAATATCATCCTCGGTTACTTTACGCTAACAAAAAAAAAGTTCCTTTTTTTTTTATTTTTTTTTTTTCGTAATCTTATTAGAATAAAGCAACAATTATGACGTGTGGCGTTTTTATGCGACTGGTAAAGTTACAATTTTTCTTTTTTTTTTTTTTTTAAAAAAAAAAAAAAAAGAAAGTTAGAGGTTACATTTCCTTTTGAACATCATCAATTCAATACTAATGCTATCCCTTTACATTCTTCTTTATTTGAAGTGTCGATTGTTTAAAACTGAATCACAAAAGTCAGTAAAAACAAAAAAACCGTTCACTTATCGCACCAAATCATTCAATTTCTCGTCAACCATGAGAGCATCAATCAGGAATAGCGCATATTATACCATATCAAATTTTCTTCATTCAGATTGTTTAGTAAGAATATTTGAATACCTTGAGGAGGACTACGCGACGTTGCGTTCGTGTGCTTTGGTTGATAGATTTTGGTGTCAAACAGCCATTCCAATATTATGGAGCAATACATTAAAGATACGAAAAAAATTTACCGGTAGTAATTATGAATCATTTGAAGGATTTTTGATAATCAATATATATTTGTCGACGTTACCACCGGACATAAAACAATCATTCATGGATAAGGGGATAAATTTATCAACGACCACAAAACGGAAACCAACCTTTAATTATGCGACCTTTTTAAGGGTCATCGATATGAGATGTTTATTCGTTTTCGTCAGAGCTTGGATTCAGCAGCTGACCATTACAAAGCAACAAAATCATTATAGTTCAAGACAATTTCAATTTATTTTACAACAATTATTAAATCATTTTTTTAGAAATTCACGTTGCATACATATCCTTAGAATAAATAATTCGGATACTGCAGAATTGATAAGGAATTCCATAGAGCAAATTCCGGAACCAAAAAAGTGTTTGGCGAATTTAAGAGAACTCGTGTCATATTGGGATGAGCATCAAGTTATGGATATCATATTTTATGAACTTGGAAAAGTCGCTCGGTTTATAGAAAAATTAGATCTAACATTATTTCACATAACGGTAGAATTGTCATCATTAATAAGGGCGCAGAGAAATTTAAGTCACTTAACCCTTTGTAATAAGATAAACTCTTCCGCTCATTTTGATCCTTGGATTGAAGGTGCCATCGGTTCGGCTTTAATGGAAAAATCCCGTTCAATTACTCATTTGGAATTAGAGAAAAAGGAATTCCCTCTAGACTCTCTAAGTAATTTTAATAATTTAGTTGAATTAAGTTTAAAATATTGTGGTCATGAGAATTTTCAACAAAGTGATTGGTTACCTTTAACAACGGTTTCCTTAAAATACCTGGAAAAACTTTACTTTGAGAGCAAGTTTCCAATTTATTTGGAAATTTTCGTGAACTTTATAAAAAATTCCGGAAAAAATTTACGTCATATCACAATACATGGTTGTCAAATTTGTGATCCCGAGAAATCAAATTTATTATTGACTTCCATAGCTGAAAATTGCCCTTTGTTAAAATTTTTTGATGGTCCAGTACAGTCCGAAAATGTTGAGGAATTGGGCAAATTATTAGAATCCTGTTTACAATTATCTGAATTATATTTACATCCTTCTACCGCGAGATGTTTTTCTCCGGTGCCTAGAATGAACTTTGATTTATTATTTAATGAAATCACCATTAAATCATCGAATGAATTAGAAAGGTTAGCGATAATACATGGTTGGAAGATTACCTCAACCTCTTTGGAATATTTCTTTGAGAATCGCAGGAAAAAATCTTACAAACCTATCAGTTTTTATTGGGAAAGTTCATGTACGGTATTTAAAGGTATCAATAATATTTGTCAAAAATACGAAAACCTTGGTGTCGTTCAAGATTTCAAACAAATTCACTGTCAAAAACATTATTAAATCCCGAAGGGATCGGGAGGAAGGGAAGAAATTCTTTTGTACATGAATTGATGCAACATTCAATTCCTTCATCAAAAAAAAAAGAAAAATAATAATATTCATAATAACACGTTTCAATTGATTCGTATCGTCCCTTCATCCTTATATATAATAATTATATAATACTTTGATAGTATTATCATAATATTATATAAAAAAAATTAAATTATAATAAATTCTTTATTAAGTTTATTTTGGCACATTACATTATCAATCGACCTTTCCTTTTGATTTGAAACACGCTTTAAGCCTGTTAGATCATATTCGGAACACTAATCAAGGACATGCGATAGCACGATTTCTTGGTAACTAGCACTTTTTTCATTCTCCTTTATAAATCATCAAATTTGGATTTGGTCGATAAATATACTAAATTATTTCAAAAAGCAAAAGATTTTTTTAAAAGATGATCAAATATATATATATATATATATTATTATTAATTAATTAATAATATTATACTTACATCTCTATACAATCCATCGCATTTCATCCTAACAAAACATTTGTTATTGATTCTATCTTGTTCAAGAAAAGTTTTATATAATAAATGATCCCGTGGAACCATTTCATCAAATTTTTTTCTAACAATGTTCCAACCGATTCCATTATAATGAAGATGTAATGCGCGAACTAAACGATGAACGTGACACAGTATCAATGTATGATATAACAAATCATAAACCTACAAAGCAGAGGAAAACAATTTTTAAAAAAAGTAAAATCCCATTTTTCGTAATTGAACCAATTGAACCAGTTGAATCATAGAAGAATGCTTGACATATGGCTCACCTCAATTAAGTTCTTTGCTTCTGTAACATTATCTTTTAGTACATCAACTCTTTCTCCTATACTCGCGAAAAGTGTATCTTGATGATGTTTGATACCGCCATAATCCCTAACAACGAAGCCTACGAGTTGTCCACTCTTGGAATCAAATCTTGCCAAGACATTCTGTTGATGACTCTCAAATGAAAATCCATTAACCAAAACTGCTGGAAGGAAAGCTTTAAATAAAATATGAACATATCTATGTCGGTAAAATTCCAAAAAAAAAGGGGGGGAAATTAAAAAACATCATTAAAAAAAAAAAAAAATCGTTACTATCCGTCCTCTTTTTTGGAAATGTTATTACTTACCTATCAAGAAAATCGATTCGTTTTTGCAAAGTGTCTAAACCCCAAACTCTTTCCACAACACTTTTACCAAATTCATCTCTTTCAGTTAAAGCGGAACAAACAACAACACTTTCACCATCAGAATTCAGATCATTGAAATCTTCTCGTATAATGCAAGATAAATGTTTAGCTATATCATAATCTTCTTCAATAGGATAAACGCCAGCAAATTCTTTACACACTTTTAACAAATTTCGATCAATTTCAAGTTTATCAAGAATATTTCCAAGTCCTGTACCAGAATGAACCGTCCAAGGTGTAATGGTACGCAATGCTGATGTAACCTTTATTCCTAATGCAAGTTTAATCGCTACATCATTCAAATTTGGTATAATAACGGTTCTAAGCGAGGCTTGACTTTTTGCTTTGATCGAATATTGTTCTGGTAAAATTTTAACAAATGAAAATTTCGATCTAATGTTTGGAAGTTGTAATTCATGTACTGGCATTATAATTGCATTTTCTGAAGGTGTTGGAGGTGATGAAAACGTAAATTTTAAGATTTTTTCAATGGTCCTTTTATATGAACCTCGAATCACCATTTTGTCAATTGGAACTTCAACAAAACGAATCAATGGATTATTGAAATCATACGTTCCGGGAAAAATTTTCGGAATTGGTGTCATAGCAAGACGTGCCTTATTCATCTTATCGATGACAAAAAAAAAAAAAGAATGTTTAATAAAAAGATGAATAGATTAGAGATCATGTGATCAAGAACCTTGAATTGTGAATACCGGATGCGTCGCATGACCTTCGAGTAAACTTTGCTCCCATTCGATGCTTGAAGTGAGCAGAGAGAGTTGATGATTATAACTTTTATATGTATATGCTAATAGAACGTTAGTCCAATTTGTTAAATATGAGGATCAAGTAAGATTAAAATTCTTACTTTGATATTGAACCGAGCTATCAAGTTCTGCAATGATTTGTTTAACGAAGTCATCATCCAATTTCATCCAGGCACCAAATATTCTCATTAATTCAACGGAAGAAATTGCCTCGATCGAATCATTACTATTTAATAATGAAAAGATAAGTTTCATTGATGATTCACTATCTCCGTTTTGAAATGATAATGATCCTTTAAATTTTATTATATTAATGGGATAAATGATATCCCATGGATCAATTAAATCAACTTTATCGAAACGCTGAGTAAATGCCGAAATTATAGGTTTATGCAAAGTTGGAACCGAAATGATGCAATTTTCATTATTAAAATTGGTTTTTTCGAAACTTGGTAAAACGATCATTTCACCAAATTTTTTGGGCCCAAAAACATTATTTTGTGTATCATTATTTGATCGAAATATGGCATTTACTATTCCTTCATTTATTACGCTCGCTAACAAACGTGAAGCTATAGCGAAATTTGCTTTCTGATTTAAAGAAATGGAATCCATTATCTGAGAGACTTTGTTTTATTTCTTAAAAAAAAGATGCGAAAAAAATTTTTGATCATCGATTTTTCACTCTTTTTATAAAGTTTCATTCTAATTGTGCTACATTATTTTTGGAAACTCTTTAACTAAAAGGATAAGGTTTTTCGGATTATGTTAAATCTAAAAGGTTGTTTCGGATTATTTTAAATCTAAAAGATTATGTTAAATCTAAATGGTTTTCTTTGATTAAGTTAAATCTAAAAAGGTTTTTTTTCGGATTATTTTAAATCTAAGATTTTTTTGATTAAGTTAATCTAAAAGATCTAAAAGGTTTTTCCAGATTTTTTTTTTTTAGGTTCTTTCGGATTATTTAAAACGCAAAAAAATTTATATTTTATTTTACACTAATGATAAAATTTATTATCAAGTTTTTCTCTTTTTAAACTTTTCGCTTTAATTATATTCCTCAAAATCCGCAGAAAATAATTTCTCTCCCGCACATATCAAACTTTAGTTTATTATAAAACTATTATAAATTAATTTTAAAGGAAACTAATTAGCATTAAATTTTATATATTTAATTAAATTATTTTATTTATTTATTTTAACAATAGTCTTTGAAATAATAATAAACATTGAAAATTAGTTATTATTATTAAATCTACTCAAAAATAAAATACTAATATATTAAAATTTGATACGATAATCTAGAATTTATAAACATATTATTTATTAATTAATAGCCTAATAAAAAATAAAGATATTACGTTGATATGATGAAAAAAAAATTTCTTTAAATAAAATAAATAAAATAATTAAATTCAAATTAAAAAATTTTTTACTTAAATAAAACAAAAAAAACTATTAAAATCTAATAAAATTTATTAAAAAAATTAATATTACTTATATAGTAAAATATATTTACATATTTTTAAGATATATATTAAACTTATAAATATTGAAAAATCTAATATAAATTTTAATATTTTTAAGTTTAATAATCTTTTATAATATCTATTTATTAAATTTAAATAATTTGATTTGAATTTATTAATTTATTTATTATAAAAAATTTCTTAATATTTTTATCTTTTAATATTAAATAAATTTTTATTTAAATTTTTTATTTGCATAATTTTCTTTATTTTTTATAAAATAATTGAATATAATATATTTATAAATATTATTATTAATATAAATCTATATATAATATAAATGTTTTATAAAATAATAAACTATAAAAAATGTTTTAAGTTAATATCATATTTTATTAAAAAAAATTATATTAAAATAAAAAAATTTTTATATATATATATTTTTTTACTATAAAGGTTTATTAGTCTAAAATATAATGAAAAACTAATTATAATCTAAGCTTTATAATGAAATATTCTGCTATTTATTTGTTTAAAATTTGAGTTTATACATAATTATCCCTTCTATTACACTTATACTTTAAATTTAACAATAGTTTTTTGAAATTGTTTCCTAATATAATTACTTTAATAAAGTTAATAATAATAAATTAATAAATATAAAATTAATAAAAATAAATATAATATTAAAATTTATATATTTAACAAAATTTATTAAATTTTTAATAAAATTAAAAAAATAAAAACATTTAAAGTTTTTTAAAATAAAAAATTATTATTTATTATATTATATATTTTAAAAATTATTTAATAAAAATAATATATAAGAATTATTCATTTAGCATATATTTATATATTTAATAATCAAATATATAAAAATGCAATAATTTATTTTAATTAAATAATTTTCAATAAATTTTTTATCTGATGATTTATAATATCAAAAATCTTAATTTAGATATTAATAAATAATTAATATAATCAATAATTTTAATTTTTATTATTATAATTATATTATTTAAAAAAAACTATAATTAAAATAATTGCTATTTTTAGATTAAAATGTAAAAATTTTTTTTGATTTTGTATTAATAATAAAAATATTTGCAGTTTTGTAGCATCTTATTTCTTATAAAAATAGTTTTTTTATTTTAAATATTTTAATATTCTTAAAAAGTTTAGATATAAATGAGTTTTATAAAATAAATAATAAATTTTATTATGATAATTTATTATTTTTTATTATTTCACATTATATTAATCAAAAATCTTTAATTATTTATAAATAATTTAAATTTAACATTATATAAAACAATATATATATATATATATTTAAAAAATATTAAAAATAAAACTATCAATTTTTTTTAGAAAATAGTTAATAAATGAAAATTTTTAAAATAACAAACTTTTATAGAAAAATAATTAATTATAGTTTATTTTAATTAGATAAAAAATTTATTATATAAAATATTACATTAAATTAGAAATGTAGAAAGAATTGTTTTGTTATTTATCAAAAATTATTTCAGTTTTAAATCATTAAAATATTAAATTATTATTTGACTATATAATACTTATTATCAAAAAGTATATAAAGAAATTAAAAAAATAAATTTTTTAATAAATATATATAACTTTATTTAAATTTTCAAATAATTTAATAAGAATATATATTTGTAAAAAATGCAATTATGCCATTTATTTATAAATTGAAATTAATCATCAAAAACATATTTTATAATATTAGTTATTTAACATTTACTTATGATATTAAAGTATTTAAAAATTTTAATTTTTATCTTTATAAAAATTAATTATTTAAAAAAACAAGATTGTTTATTAGCTAATTTAGTTTATTTAATTATTATAACTAAAGATAGTGTTATAACTAGTTACAATATCATCTTTAACTATAACTGTTATTTTATTATTTAAAAATCTACATAAATAATATACTATATAATTTCAAAAATAAGCATTTTGTAATATATTTTTTTTATAGTAATTTATTTATTTGTCACATAAAATTTATTATATTATTAGTCATATATAAATTAATAAATTTATATATATTACGTAGTACTTATTTTCAGAACTATATAATAATTAAACTTATATTAAAAACAAATATTAATAGGAAAAAATAGATTTTAACTATTAAAAAATTTAGAATTAAAAATATTAAAATGATTAAGAATAGTACTGTAATTAATGTAACTAATAATAAGTAAATATTATAGAGTTACAACTAATTATAATATTAACAAAAATTAAATTGTAATTAATTATAATTAATAATAAATAAATATCACATAGTTGTAATTCTTTATTGCATCATTTTTAAAAATGATTATAAATTTTTATTAATTTTATATACTAATTTAATAAAGCAATTTAATAATATATAGAAACTTTAAAAATACAAATATAGATACTTTATTTTAGAAAAGGAAAAACTATTAAAAAAATTTTTATTTTATAAATAAAATATTATTCTTTTTTGTAAAATAAATTCAGATTTCTTTGATAGTTTTCTTTTTTTCTAAGATAAATTATCTATTTATATAAAATTTAATATAATATTAATTAATATTTAGAATATTCTTAAGAAATTAAAGAATTAAAAAATATTATAAGATAAATTTTAAGAAATATTATCTTATAATATGCATATAATAATCAATTATAATCTTATTAATTTTTATATTAAATCTTTTATAATTATAATTATAACAAAATATTTGATTAAAATTTTAATTAATTTAAATTTAAAATTTATTATTTTAAATTTTTAAAATATAATATAAATTTTTTTTTTATTTAAATTTTAATTTTTTTTATTAATTTATAAATAATTTGATTTTTTTTTTTATAGAAAATATTTAGAATATAAAAAAAATAAAATATAAATAGATTAAAATTTATTTTATATTAACAAATAATATTTTTTGAAAATATTTAATAAAATATAATATCAAATATAATATAAAATTATATTTATTTCAAATAAAAATATAATATAATTTTTTCAAAATTTTTTTTTTACATTTTAATATTATTTGTTTTATTTTTAATTTTAAGTTTTATATTTCAATATTTAATTTATTTATCAATTTAAATAAATAAATATTAAACTTATAAATATTAATTTTAAATCATAAATTTGTAAAAAATATTATAATTAATTTATAATTAACTAGATAATAAATAATTAGATTAATAATTTTATAAGAAATACTTAAATTTTGATTTATTTATAAAATTATTCTTGTATTTCTAATTTTCAACCTTTTATATAAATTTATATTTTTCTTTGATAATATAAATAAAATTTTTAAAAAGATATGAAAACAATCTTTTAATTTTTAAATTTAATTAATATTGAATTTTATTTTTATTTTAAAATAATTTTAAATTTTAAAAAGATGTTGAAAGTTAAGAAATAAATTATTTATATTTTTAATTGTATAAAAATTTATATTAATCAAAAAACTATTATTATAATTTAATATTTTTATATATTTATTTTTAATATTTAAAATAAAAGTAATGATATGATAATTTATAATATATTTACAATAATTAATAAAATTTTGTTTTGATTATTAAATTTAATAATAATTAATTATATTTATATATTAACTAATAATATTTGTATTTACAAACTTTGTAAATTTATTTGATTTAATCATTATTATTCTAATTTAGTAATAATATTTTTTTTAATTAAAATATAATAATAAATCATAAAATTAAAAATTTATAAATAATTATTTAATTAAAAACAAGTTACCAGATCTTGATTTTATTATATTAATTATTAATTATAAAATAATAATTAAACAAATAGGATTATAAAAATTATTTAAAATATAATTTATAGTACTTATTAGAAAAACTTTTTATAAAAAATAAAATAAATTTAATAATACAATATATATATTCAATTATTTTAAATAATTAATAATAAAATTAATTAGTTTATTTAATAAAATAAAATAAAATAATTTATAATTAAAATTTAAAATAAATTATTTTTATATTTTAAATTATAATATAAAATTAAAATCATAAATAAATTATTTATTTTTTAAATTATATAAGTTTTTTTAATAATTTTTTTTAAAATTAACTTATAAATTT